TTGGTAGACTGAATACTGACTATAAAGACATAGTAAAGTTATTGTTATTAGTTAGTCATTAAATTTAGATAATACTTATTGATGTAAACTTGAACTTATGCTTTAAAATTCTTCACTAACGTCACTTTCTTCTTGTTATTGATAATTTGCTTGCAACAGAAATGTTTCTTCGAGATGGTCAAGTGCGTTTATCGAGTGCAAGTATAGGTAGGAATGCGGTAAAAGCTTGATTGCGAGACGAGTTACTTGAAATTTGATGGTATGATTACTGACCCGATGTTTATTTTGTTCTTAAATTAAATTCAAGTCTATGACCGCGAATGTCGACTACTCTTCCGAACAGGTTTGATTGGTATCAGTAGCGGCGCGCGGTTCAATGGATTAGGGGTACAGAAAACAGAAATCTGAGAAAAGAAATAGTTACACGTCCATGTCGTGGGCATAGAGCAATTTTAATAGTCTAAATCTTAAATAATTTAAAAACCATTTATTTTAGGTTTAGGAACATGTATAATCAAAAAGTCAGGAATTGAAAAACCTTTACAATAGTGTAATAAAAAACTGGGTTTCTGTTTGAAAAAAAAATGATTTATGATAATTTTTTAATCGCTCAATTCCATGACAGCTATGACATTCGAACAATTTAATGTTCGAGTGTTATACAGGGTGTCCCAGAAATCAGTGCAAGTATTTTAACCGGTAGTATAGTTCTACCCCAGAAACACGCCTATGAAGTTTTTTTCGCGGAAAAAAAAATTGAAAATTCGAAATATTTTGAAAAATTTTTGAAACTTTTTTGATGGCATCTTGGTGGACATGCCAAGGAGCAACTTTGCCCCAATTTAACTATCTTCGTATCTATTATGGTTTCCGAGATACCAATGCTCGTACCTCGAATTTGTAGCATCATTTGTAGCATTATATAGTATAGTTCAACCCCAGAAACACGCCTATGAGGTTTTTTCGCGAAAAAAAATTAAAAATTCGAAATTTTTTGAAAAATTTTTTTGATTTTTTTTTAGTTAAAAAAACATAATTTCTTGATAATACGGCAACATAGGTATTAGATTAAATTTACAAAAAAGGAAATCCAGAAAAGATCCAGTGGTTCTTAAAATTTTAGCAAAAAATATATTTTTTTGGAAATTTTCAAAGGAAAATAACTCCGTTATTTTCGACTTATTTGAAAAACGATAAAAAGAAAATATGTTTCTTTTATCGAGATCATCCCAACCCTTCAAATACTTGCACTTATTTCTGGGACACCCTGTATAATATTGGCCGAATTTGAATAATTAAATGTTTGGTATAGAGTGTTTAATATCAAAATTCATAAAATTTTACGTAGAATTTAAGTATTTAATAAAAAATGGGGGTGGGGTACCCATTTAATAAGTCCAAAATGACGGAGTTATTTTACTTTGAAAATTAGAAAATAATGAATTTTTGCTAAAATTTGAGAACCACTGACCTTTTCTGAATTTTTTTTCTTGTAAATTTAATCTAATACCTATGTTGCCATATTATCAAGAAATTATGTTTTTTTAACTAAAAACTAAAAAATTTCCAAAAATTTCGAATTTTCAATTTTTTTTTTCGCGAAAAAAAACTTATAGGCGTGTTTCTGGGGTTGAACTATACTACCAGTTGAAATACTTGCACTTATTTCTGGGACACCTTGTATAATTTGTATTTTTGTACAAAATATAACAGCAAACCACACATTATTGTAATTAATGTCTATAGATTTATGGGGGGGGGGGTTATTAATTGGAAAAAGTCTGGTATTTTTAATAAATTCTATGACGAAACGTTTTTGGAATAAATTCAATTAATACGAAAAGTGTTTTGCTATTTAAAGCCATTTTTTGCATTTGCTATTAAATTTGGGGGTGTCGCTTTGCATTTGCCATTAAATTTGAGGGGGTTCAAGTGCATATGTGCACTTTCTGAGGAAACGCCACTGATTGACATTGTAAATACTATATAGCGAGGATTTTTTTAGGTTTACACATTATTTAAATTCGCTGTATTAAGAAATCATTTTTATATATGGAATATGCTAAGTATTTAAAATTATGATCACGAATTGTATAGATAATTAAAACATATGATGCCATAAAATAGGTGTAGAACGCAGTTCTTAAAAATCTTAATATTAGTTATTAGAAATTAAAAAAGCATAACTATTTGATATAAAGTCGGAGTCTCATGCATCCGAAATCCGATGGTACGACATCCGAAATTTGAAGTTATCGTGTGAAATAAAAAAAGCCTGTCACATACATCCGAAAGTTCGTTCCGAAATTTGACAGTTTTAACATTTTTCTGCTGCGCTGAATAGAGATCCATGTCATGTTTTATTGGAGAAACACTTATAAAAATAACTTCCTCGCCAAATATCCCGAAATTGCCCACTTCCCACTAAACTTGTTTTTAAAAACAAATGTTTTAAAAAAAAGTGAGGTTAAAAAACACGATATCGTACAAAAGTTAAACAAAATTTAACTTTATACGACGTCGGATGATTAGTTAAAATTATCGGATAAAAATTGTTGTCAAAATATTTCTTAAAAATCTTACCGTCGGATTATTAGAAATTAAAAAAGCATAACTATTTGATATAATCCTTCTATTAGTGTATTCAAGGATATTTAATTTTTCGTCTTTAATTTCCTAAAATTTTAAATTTTTTGGCTGTTTAGGTGAACCTTACAACTCCTTGATTTAAAAAGTGTTTTGCTGTATCCAACAGGCCTGCAGGTATGGCACTAAATATCTGTGACCACTTTGTACAGGGTGGGTCAAATTCGACGCTTTTTAATGGAAACACCCTTTTCTATAGGAGATAGACAAAAACTAATATCGGTGTCTGGAGCTCAATTTTCATCAAAAATATGATGGTGAAAACTGCACATCAATATCTGTTACCGTTTCGGAGTTACGGAGTGTTTTTCAAAAATGTGCCTTTTTAACAAATCGCTGTAACTTTTTTGCTATGGATAATTTTGTATTTCTATGAAAACATTTCCAAAGCACCTTTTTACGTAGAATATAATGGTTTAAGTATAATTTTTTTAAAGTTAATAATTTAAGAGTTATCAACAGAAATTTTTTTTATTTGGGACACCCGCTATATTTTTAATTAACTGAAAATAATTTAAAATTACCTTTCCAAAAATATAGCACACTTGATATTTTGTTATAATCCCCTTCGAAATACAGAATTTTTAAAAGTTCGCCACTTTTAAGTAGTAGGCTTGGACCCCTTATTGATGATATGTCCTTAATGGAACTCGAAAACCTATTTTTCCAGCAAGAGACGCGACGCACCGCCTCTGAACGCTGAAGTTATCAGCAAATTTTTGCAGCCAATTTCAAGAATATTTGGATAGCTAACCAAGATCCCAGCCGTTGGCCGTCGAGGCCGCCTATGCCCATGGATCTAATCCTATGGATATATTTGCGGAAGAATAAAGGTTTCTTATTTTTCCCTATAATCTAGACAAGAATTAAAAATACTTAGCAGTTATGAGCGGGTATCTTTCACCCCTACTGAGTTAATGAATTCCGCGAGAAATATTCAAAAACTGCCCCGTCTGTCCATAACAGAAGACGGTCGATATGTCGAACACCTGTAGCAAAATTTCATGTCTTGGTTTGCTATTTATTTTTATTGTTGTTATTAGATATAGTTTAAATGTGTTGATGTTGGTTAAATATATTTTAAATTGTTATAATTTGCATCTCTCGTAGCAAATATTATTTTCGTTTTAATTGATGCTCACAGCTAGAATTTTTTTTGCATTACAGCCGGTGCCATTCAAAGCCTACTTATTTAAAGCGGGCGAATTTTTATATACTCTATATCTCGAAGAGGAATCGAGCAAAATATCAAGTGTGTTATATTTTTGGAAAGGTAATTTTAAATTCTTTCCAATAAACTAAAAATATATGGGGTGTCCCATATAAAAAAATCAAATTTTCTGTTGATAGTTCTTAAATTATTAATTTAAAAGAAAATATACTTAAACCATTAAATTCTACGTAAAAAGGTGCTTTGGAAATGTTTTCATAAAAATGCAAAATTTTTGCATAGCAAAAAAGTTACAGCGATTTGTTAAAAATGCATATTTTTGAAAAACACCCCGTAACTCCGAAACGGTAACATATATCGATATGCGATTTTCACCATCATGTTTTTGACAAAAATTAGAGACCAGAACCAGACACCGATATTAGTTTTTGTCTATCTTCTATAGAAAAGGGTGTTTCCCTTTAAAAGCCTCGAATTTGACCCACCCTGTACACTTGGAAATAATCTTAACTTGCAACATTCAAATTTCTATCTGAATTAGATAGAGGAAATGAGGGTTATTCGGAATACTATGAAGCTATGCGTGGCGCTATTATATCTCATTAAATATGGTATATCAAGGAAAATTAAAACAACTTTCGTTGCACGTCATCAACGACACCATGCGTCGTCTTATGGAGTTTGCTGGTAGTCGTATTATGATGTGCAACCATAGTTATTTTAATTTCCACTGGTAAGGCAGCTTGTATTTATTTAGTGGACAACACGATGACAACACGTTATATTTACTATAGGTTTTTGCCTAATTCGAATCGAAATTGAAAATTCGATGTTTTAAATTACGAAATGCATTTCAGTGACACTAACCCTAGGCACTATAAGGTGGTAGTGTAGTACAACAAATTACACTTGGCAATAATAAAATCATAAGTTGAAAACTTATTTGCCTAGTTTTGCATTGTTATCTGTTCAGTTTTATCACGTTTTATTTAAAAATAGTCTCTTAAATTAGTTAAAATCAACTTCTCCAAAATTGTTCAATTTTGGCTTGAAAAAATTTAACAGGGGAGCCAATATTTGGACAGTTCGAAATTTGCATGCGATTTCGAATGTTTCCAACGACGATGCGCAGTAAAATGCAGTAAAATATAGTAAAATATGTTTTATTATTTACGAGTTTTTTACAATAATTACACAATTTAAAATAGAGCGAATTTTAATATTGATTACTGCGTGTCAACAACTTTGGATACAGGTCCTTCAACAGGTATACTTTGAATTCTATAAGCCAGATGGGATCCATGTGCAGCTGAGTTTACGGAGGCTGTACCAGCTAGATCAACATGGGGTCCGTCCAAAGGTACTGCTTCCATTCTGAATAATTGAAAAAAAAATGTAAATTTAATATTATTTTTGATAGACATATAGGATGGCTCAAATATATTTTTACACCGAAGTTGTGTATATTGAAATTCTCTCTGGAGTGTACCATACGATCAAAAAAAAAAACGGCTGGGAAATGACAATCGATGATAATTTTAGCGAGGTCAACCTCTAGCCGTCATTTACTTGGTCCGTACTCTTCCTTATTTATTAATGGCGTTTGCTGCCATTTTGGCCTTAAGAAGGTTCTAATTTATTTTTATATTGGGTAGAAATAACTTTTAAATTGTGTAGTTTAAAATTCGAGAAAAAAAAGTTTTTAGAAATAGAGTTGTGTGTCTGGAAACATTCTACCCTTTTTTAATATTTCGATAATGAGTATTAGTTTCTGACAAGTTTTATGTCAATTTATGACTTCGTCAAAATTGTTATCGATTGTCATTTCCTAGCCGTCTTTGACGCCGTTTTTTCTCGAGCGGATGCTTCTTAATTTTTCTTCTATTGTAGGTAAATTAAATGAAGTAAACTGCTATAAATTTAAATATACTCGATAAACGACTTTTCGATTTTGAAAACAGCTATCATCACTAACAAATTGCTATGGCACCAGTTACCTTAGTTGTCTTTTTATAGAAAAATTGCTTTTTATTCAAAAACTTACAACCTAATATAGTTTGGAAGTGCATTGAGATCTGTATCAATTTATTTAAGAAGGTACAGGGTGTTTGGTTTGAAATCACGAAATTTTTACGTAAAATAAATATTTAAAATAGACCAGCAATTTTTGATACCCCTGTATAAATTTAAGGAACAATCAAATTTTTCAGTTAAGTTATTTCTCTAGCTTAAAATTCAGCAAAAGAATTAATTCTGAAAAGTAACGTACAGGGTGTTTATCAAACCATCTTTTTTATTATAGCATACATATTTAAATATCTCCAAAACCAAAGCTTTTAAACATATTTGACCCTTATAATAAACTGGTTGAAGCCTGGCGCATCCGCCACGACATCAGGGAAAAAAATACATTTTAATTTTATTTTAATTAAATGAAAAACAAAAAATCCGGCGACGACAGTTTTTAGAAGAGCCAATTAGCTGCTATCTTTTAGTAAAAAAAAGCAACTTTCTAGAGCAAGCGTTACTTCAGTAGAGACGACACAGATAAATATTAGCATTTTATAGTATATGTAGATGCCGTTTTTTAGGTTCAAGAGTCTAAAAATTAAATACGGGGTGTTCCATAAGAAAAAATAAACTTTGGTATGGATTTTATATCTGAAACACCCTGCATATTTGAAAATTTTGGGGCAAGCTTCGTTGAATATAATCCTATGCGGATATTAAAGAACTGAGATGTAAAAATAAAGAAAAAATAGTTATGGTGCATATTTAAAATCATTTAAATCATTTTAACATTTAGGCATACCCAGATCGCAATTTTGGATGCAGATTTTTGGCTATATTTTGTTAACTTGGAATTACCTTAACACTCTGTATCCTTTGTCATCAGCTACATAATGTACTGTTCTTTTGTAATATCCATCGCTGTAAGAATACATTCCTTTAACAGACAGCCCATCCCTTTCTTCTGACCTTTGATGGGTCAAGTCGCTTATGTGATCATCGATGTTTGACGAAAATTGATATCTGCAAGTAAATTTATCATAAAGTAAATATTAATATACGGTGTCCTATACCGTGCTTTTATTTTAACTGTGAACATTTTGTGCTATTTTGCTAAAAGTATGTTAATTTTTAAAGCGGAACAGTCAGTGCATTGGATTTGAGTGAATAGTATGCAATCAACACACAACAAATAATATTTTTTGTTTTAAAATATTTTTTTTGTTTAGTTAAAAATAGTCCTAGCTAAAAAAATTACCAAAAATCCTAATATTTGATGAAAAAAAAATATTTTGAATTTTATTTCATGCGTCTATTAATTTTTCGGCGAAAAAACAGTATTGTCTATTGTCGGTATTTCATCCATGGATAATAGGTTGGTTAAAAAAGTACTACCTTGCAGCTTCGTTCTGATGCCTTTCATATTCGCTAGGTACGTAGGTTTTGGATGTTCTCCCTTGCGGCGATGCTAAAGCCAGAGTCACAAAAATGGAAATTATAATCTAAAAATGAATATAAACATTATTTATTAGTTAAATTGAACACTTGCTAATGATAGATATACTCACAATGGACTTCATTTTGCGGTTTTCAGTTTATAGAGATTTGATGGGTATTTAGAAGCAATATGCATTGTTAATTTATTTGGCAGACTTATATAAGTTTATTTTAATTATATAGTTAGAAAGTAAGGTTAATACAGGGTGAGTATCACTAATGTTAGACCTGACTATGTTTGATTGTATTATTTTTATAAAAAAAAATTATACATACATCATACAGATGACTGATTTACCCAATCATCTGGAGTGACTTGGGCCAATCGATTTTATTTATTATCGTATATTATTAATCGTATTATTTATTAATCGACTATTCCAAATGAGACGAAAGTACAACTTTAACGCCTCTTTAAAAAAGTCTAATACAATTTTCGCATAAAATCATCTGGGGAGATAATATTTGACTTTTTCAAAATTTCCGATGTACAGGGTGGTCCGAACTGTATTCCGGAAACTTCGGCAGCATATCCTGCAGATAAAAATAAGTAAAAAAGTTCGTTTAAATGTATGTCCTTAAATGCTGAATTTCGGAGATACAGGGTGTAGAATTTTCATTATTATTTCAATTTTTTCCAAATAATTTCTGAAGTAACGTCAATATTTGGATGAAAATTGGTGTCTGGGAGTTTTTTTTTGATATGAAAAATTGTTGTCAATTTTTCATATCAAAAAAAAAATGATTCAACATTCATTGATAGACATCAAAATTGATTTTGATGTCAATATGACTCCTGCTTGTAGAGGGCGCCACCTACATATTTTTTAACTGGTTTGAAGACTAATAACTTTTCGTCCGTACCTGCATAAAACTACTGAGTGAAAAATATACATTTACGACGTAAAAAAGGCCTCTTGGTAAAAATCGCTTTGGGTAATGGTTCTCGAGATATTTGGAATCAAAATTATCAATACCTGTCATCAGTGACATATATTATTATACATGTTGACTAAATAGTTATCATACTGAAATAAAAAATTTGCAAAGTTTTTCTGTCAAAAGTTCAACAAAAACTGTTTTATCATCATTTTTTTGCAGAAAAATTTATGATTAATTTAAAAAAATTAAAATTTCCCAAATTTATTATTTCAGTCAAATAATTATCTACTCAACCAACGTGTTTATTTTTTGTCAATAATGACATGTATTGACTATTTCCATTCTAAATATCTTGAGAACGGTTGCTCGTAGCGATTTTTACCAAGAGACATTTTTTACGTAAAAAATGAAAGAACTGCCACAGAAACTGCTCTGTACCAGTTAACTGAGCTATAAACCAAAGCACAGGTATGAAAACAGCACTGTGCCTTCTTGAACATTGCAGGGGCGTTTGACAATATACCTCACAAGATTGGTCAAAGCGATCTCTTGAAACAAGAGGGAGCGAACAGTACCATAATTCGCTGGTTTTGGGAAATGCTCTCAACACGAGCAGCAGAGGCTGAATAGGTACCAAAACTGTGATTCAGTGCAAAACAACGCAAGGAACTCCACAAGGTGGGTGACCTCCCCCTACTGTGGAGCTTGGTAGTGGATGAACTTCCACTGGAAGAACTCTAGCGGGAATACACTGCATAGGGTACGCAGACATAGTCATCATTGCAGGGGGAAACATGAAGGCACCCTGGCATTCATTATCAAAGAAGGATTCCACATCGCTGAGAGATGGTGCAGGACTGTCGGGCTGAGTATTGCTCAGATAAAACCACCAGTAGTCCCATTCACCAGAAAGCGAAGTTTGAAAAACTTAGAAAAGAATCCATCTAGATGGAGAGGAAATACTGCCATCACAGGAAGTGAAATATCTGGGAATAACCCTGGATAGTAAGCTTCTCTGGAACAGGCATATTAAGAACATTACCAGCAAAGCCACAAAGGCTCTGATATGCAGAAGACTGGCGGGAAATAGGTGGGGCTGCGCCCCTAACATTGCTGGATGTATACCATGATAGTAAGACCCCATGATTACTTATGGAGCAGTTGCTTAAATGCCAAAACTAGAGCAACATTACAAGCAAGGCAAACCCTGTGCAAAGTACAGAGACTGGCATGTATCTGCATCACAAGGTGCCATGAGAACATGTCCAACACAGCAACAATGGAGGTCATTCTAGACCTAACACCACTGCATATTGTCGTCAGTAGTTATGCCAATGCGACAATGATTAAAGATGATAATTGACGGAAACAGTACTGGGAAATTTTTCGGAGGGCTTAGAACACCCTCAAAAGAAAATTCCACTTCTCCAACTCCAGTGGATGACATACCAAATTTACAACTTTTGAGAAACACCCTCACTGTAGTATTGAGTAATAAAAGGATTGGAAGAAAGAAACGCTTACTCAGCATATAAAGACCGCACATCATGGTATACTGATGCTTCAAAACCAAAGCAGGGACAGGGATAGGAGTATTTGGGTAAAGCTGAATGCTCAGACAATGAGCACCTACCCCAGTATCCTTCAGGCAGAAATTTGCGCTATCGAAGATGCGTACAATTTATCTTGGATAGGAACTATCGAAAACAGGAAATTGCCATCCTATCCGATGAACGGCACTTAACGCGATCAACTCAGTAACCATCAATTCGAAGTTGGTCAAGAATGCCTAGAGAAGCTCGCTCAACAAATTAGGCAAAGAAAATAAAGTCCTCCTACTCTGGGTGCCTGCTCACCAAGGGATAGAAGGCAATGAAAAAAGCAAATGATCTAGCTAGGAAAGGCGAACACTCCACTAACTGGACCAGAACCGTTCTGTTTCCAAACGGGAACCAACTGAAAGCAGGACTGAAGAATCTGGAAGACTCCATCCGTAACTTGGAATGGGTGTCCTCCAACTTGATCTAAGACACTCAAGGATTCATAGAACTTATGACCGAGAAAAAAATCAAAAGTTTTCATGATTTAAGTAAAAAGCAATCTTCGGATTGTCACGGGGTTTTCTAACAGGACACTGTCTCCTCAACTTGAACACCTCAGTAAGGCTGAAACTGAGAAATAAACAGCAGATGCAGATTTTGTGGGGAAAATGGGGAAGCACAGAACACCTTATCACTGAGTGCGCGCCGAGACGACGACCATTCGTGCCATGAACTTTGGCGTCTGATGTCGAGGATGGAGGAAACTTCTTCAGCACTCTGTGGAGCCGTCTCAGATACTGGCTTTCTCAAAGCCCTGAGACTATGATCGAGTTATAACTCAGGTATAACTCAGAAAGAGAATACCTGTCATCATTGACATAAATTAAACATGTTGACTAAATAGTTATCAGACTGAAATAATAAATTTCAAATGTTTTTGTGCCAAAAGTTCAACAGAAACTATTTTATCATCATTTTTCATTTGTTTTATCCTCAATTCAATAAAATAAAAAGTTCCCATATTTATTATTTCAGTCAAATAATTATCTACTCAACGTGTTAATTTTCATCCAAATATTAAGGTTACTTCAGAAATGATTTGGAAAGAATCGAAATAAAAATGAAACTTCTACACCCTGTATCTCCGAAACCAAGCATTTTTATTTATTTTTATCTGCAGAATATGCTGCCGAAGTTTCCGGAATACAGTATGGACCACTTTGTATTATTTAAAAATATATTGATATGTTTTGGAAATCGGAATTGGATTGAACCACTCTGTATATATGGACGTGAGTAAATTCTAATTCTCTTATTAAATATAAATTGAAGTGCATTCCAAAGAAGTAAGTACTTAAAAAGTTATTTGGATTCGTTTTCTAATTAATGTACATTTACGAAAAAATGTTTTATGTAAATTTAATTATTTTACAATTACAGGCAACATTTTTGAACTGTTGTGGAAATTAGCGATGGGAACTATCGAATGAATTAGACTATCGAATGGTTACTGAATGAATGATTTCAACTATCGAATGATTTTATTCGAATAAAATCATTCATTCATTTGTATACTAAAGCATATGTGACAACCTCGCCGTGCGACTAAATGGTTATCGTTGCGCCACGACTAGCGAATGCTTTTGATAAATGAAATTTAGTATTCCTTTGATTTTTGTATGCGTCAGTGCATTATTAGTTCTTCCAAATTTTTATAACTTCGCCTTGTAAATACTGTGCTATTTTTGCGTTTATTAAAATATTTAAAATAGTAAAATAGTAGTTTTTTTTAATTGACGATTGTGTGCGAAGTGGTCAAAATTTTTCCGAAAATTTGTGTGATTTTCCGTAGCCCGATCTTTCAATTATTTAATTTTATATGGTGTATTATGGTTAGGTTAGATTGCATTTTTTTAATGGGAGATTTTGAGAAGTAGCAATTTTTAAGAGAGATGAGATGAACTTACAATTAATTTTAAAAATACATATTTGTATTTTAGATGTTTTAATAATATGAATTAGTTGAACTTAATAATCATATTTAAGTAATGTGGTTAAGTAAATGGTTATCAGACTCAAATTTTGGGGTGAGAAAATTAAATTGAAAGTTTTACACGTGCCAATTTAAAAGACAATGTTTGTATTTTGTTTATGCTAATTCTCTTACATGTAGTTTTTTGCGAAGAAATATTTCAATTATTTTTTAAAGTAAATGCCGGTAAAAGTAATTATTTTTTTTAAATAGTAATATAAAGTAATAAAAAGTAATGTAAATAATTTTGATTTCTAATTTTTTATTTATATTTTCCTTCCATTACACTGCATGCTTAGAAAATTAATAAATGTTTATATTTCATGATTTTAAAATTTGTTGTTAATATAACAAATTAGTTCTGTAATTATTATTATTTAATAAACCAACGTTGCCATTTAGAGACTATATTATTTTTTAAATAGGATCTCATATAAATACTTTTTGACTTCTATTTGTTGTTTATATTTTGCTACTACTTAAAAAAAATGTTTATATTATTAAATGATGTTAAATTTTGTTGTTAATAGGTATAACAAATTATTACTGATATTATCATTTATTAAACCAGTCTTTGCTTAAAAACACATAAAAAATCATTTTCCTACATCCAAAATAAAAAGTATTATTGCAGTGTAACAACAGAATATTAATAAAAAAATGCAAAACATATAGACATACTATCCCTAACTAACTAATGCTAAAGAATAATATTCTTTGCTAATACCAACTAATACGAATATATGGCAACAGCGCCCTTCATAATGTATTTTTTTGTGTAAATACTAGCACCTCAATAAAAAAAATAATGTGTCCTTATCTTTATTTGACTCCGCAAAAAATCAAAGATGCCGGCTTCTTTCATAGCATATGATTGCCACCGACCGCTGTCGGGTTTCTAGGAAAGAAACCTACGTCGCCGGACGACAACTAAAATCCAGTTTATATTTTATTAAAATCGATCCTGACGAATAAATGAATTTGATAAATGAATGAATTTTATAAATGAATGGTTTTTGCTGCCGAATTACTAGAATACAATATTTCAAGGCAGATGACGCATCTATTCGATAATTTTTATTCGAATAGTTTTCGACGAATGTTTTCTTACGAGCTATCGAATTATTCGAATGAATTGCAACTATCGAATGTTTCGATAGTATTCATTCGATAGTTCCCACTACTAGTGGAAATGCTTGTAATTTTATTTATTTTGCCCTATATGTTTTGCTCTTAGGCCAGTCAATAGAGATTTCGTAATAGCTTCCTCTACATCATTGAAAAAATGAGCAAGCTTTGGGGTAAGAGTGCAGAAGAAGATTCGAATTTCTTATTCTTCGTTCGAAGATAGATTATGGCTCGGTGGTATACTCTACTGCTTGCAAATCAACCTTACAGCTCCTGGACCGCGTACAAAATGCATGTTTAAGGCAAGCTCTTGGAGCTTTTTACACAAGCCCCGCAACTAGCCTATGTGCTGAAGCGGAAATAGAGCCCCTTAAATATAGAAGGAGGAAGCTAGCGCAATCCTACCTCATTTCGGCATTGGCAAATCCTAGCCATATAGTGAGAGAAACCTGCCTATGATAATCAATGAAATCCATTACGAAAATCCTCCATGGCTAATACCTGAAACTGAAGTAATATTAGACCTGAACAAACTAAAACGTCAAGACACATCGCCTAAAATATATCAACAAAAGTCCCAGAAAATACTAGACCAGTACAACGAAAAAATTGTTATTTATACTGATGGCTCCAAAACACAAACAACCTGGTGCTGGATATACAATTATTACCAACGGGTCAGCTTTCCAATGGACTTTAAGACATGAAGCATCCACTTTCTTCACAGAACATTTTGCGATCTGGAAAGCCTTATCCTATGTCATTGAGGAATATAATCAATCTAGAGTTTTAATTATTGTTCCTGACTCTTTAGAGATCGTGTCTAAAATAAATGACATATTTGTCCATGATCCTCTGAAACAAAAAATTCACAGGCTTATTCGAGAATGCAGCGAAAAGAGAAACAAACTCACGTTTGTTTGGGTCCCAAGCCACACTAATATACTTGGCAACACAATGGCAGATGAAGCTGCTCAGCAAGCTGCTAGAATTGATTTCCCTTATATTAGTAAATATGATCGTAAAGTACTACTGCATAAAAGAACAGAAAGGGAATGGCAGGATGAGTGGGCAGGTAAACCTTCAAAGCTTTGCGCAATAAAACAAGATCCGTCAACCCCATCCTTACGTCTTTTACTAGAACGAGCTGATGGATCCAAAGTGCGTCTGCTTCGTATTGGGCATACTACGGTGCCTCATGCATATCAGACTATGCACATTGGAGAAATACCTCCCATCTGCATAGTATGTGATGTAGAGTTGACAGTAACTCACATTATATATGCATGTCCTCAATATACGGTAGAAAGAAACAGATTCGATATACGTGGTGAAATTCGTGAAAATTTAACTGAGGAGGAAAAAATTAAAATTATTTTGAAATTATGAAAGATATTAATATATACCACCAACTGGTTGGCTCGCCTGTGATACTCTAATCCAACTGTGATACTGTGATGTAAATAATTACCTATTTTTCTTGTTGTTTTTTTTGTTTTCTCTATTTTTTGTGTTTAGTTATTTTGATCTGTTTGTCACTCAACTTGAAATGTTTATGTCAATGTAGATTTTTAAATTTTAATTGTCCTTGTAAGAGTGAACCCCTTAAGGATATTGAGATAGATTCCTGTAATTGCATCATTAACAATAACGAGTTGTATATGGCTAATGATCCTGGTGATCGATGCCTAGGAAAAAAAAAGAGTGCAGAATGCATGTCATGCGTTGTATGCCATCGTAAGGAAAACTCCTCTGGTTTGATGAACTTAATGAATGCAGAAATTAGCAAGCATGTAAGAATTAAGTCCTTTTTAATTTTCTCTATATTATTTTTATTTTGTATAGAAACCTAATTTGCTGTTACCTCCATCTATGGTTACGTAAGTAAAGCAAGCTTGTTGGTTCCAGTAGGCCGCTGGTTTTATTTCGTGGTACGATTCGTACGAACTGCCGCTAGATGGCGATATCGTGTAGACTTTGTTACTGTGGTAGTACCTTTGGTACTCAAATGCGATTTCTGCGTTTTCTTTATCAAATCGAAGGATCCAGCAAACTTGATGATGGGGATATATCTCCGAAACTGGTCGTCGGATGGCTTTTTCTTCGATCTGATGAACTCAATGCAGAATTTGGCACACATGTAGGGGTTAAGGCCTTTTTAATTTTCTCTAAATATACTATTTTTATTTTATTTAGAACCCTACTTTACTTTTAGCTCCATCTACGGTTACGTAGGTGAAACAGGCCTGTTAAAGGTTTCCCTTCCGTTTCTCTTCCGTTTACATAAAAATTATAGCATGTAAATAAATAGGACAATCCGTTCCATATCCTTTCCTTCCATACATTTTCTTGGCGGACGGACTGAAGCGTATCGGAAACAGCATTGTTACGTTCTTACATTTGTACCAGTTCTGTTAAGATTTTGCTGATATTTATTTATTCTTTTAGCTCTTAATTAAATCTATTACCTTTTTCAAAAGATACAAATTTTTAAAATAAAACGTTCGTAATGATATAAATTGTACAATAAAAGTATGGAACTGATACGGAATGGAAGCTTACGTATAGCGTCAATACAATAAAAAATATGGAACGGATATGGAATGGAAACGGAAGGTATAGTGAGAATCAACCTTTAAACTATTTTGCTCACGATTGTTTGCTTCACAATGTAGAAAAGAATAAAACAAAGAAACGTTAAAAAATTGTCAATTTTATTTGGGTACTTGGGTACTATTATATACTAGATACGTACTACATATTTACAAATATATAGCGACCGCTAAAAAGTTTGCAATATGGGTATGAATAGACTGTGGTTTGTATCAAACTTTTTAAAGGTTACTGTATATGGACTACTGGTTTGTTACTATATCTACTAATTGAGAATATTATGGAATTATTTCATATGACTTTGACAGTTTAACATTAACATTCCTTGTCCAATTTTATACAACAAAATACTATAGAGGGTGTTAATTTATTGAACATGTCTCGCATTGAAATTATAATTAATTTTAATAAATATATCACAGCGTATTTTTGAAGTTGTCCTACTGAGTTTTGAAGCCCCAATCTTGTTTGATCATGTCGGATCCCTTTTCTGCTATTAGGAATGTGGGAGCATTAGTGTGTGCGGCTGGTATTTCTGGTATCACAGATGCGTCCATCACCTGTTTTATGAAATAAATTATACACATTTAATAAAATTGAAACAACTTTAATTTATTATTATATATAATTATTTTTTATTTTTTATCTAATTTATAAACTAACTTTTTTTTACATTAAACGTCTGATTAGTTTTAAAAGTAAGCTTGTTCCCCTATTTGATTTTTTTTTAATTTTGAAAAATCGATTTTGCGTATATTTTACAGTATATTGTAGACCTAAACGCGTCACTTTTAATCTGCATCACAGGAGCCATGAGAATCTGCCCAACAGCAGCGATGGAAGTCTTTCTAGGCCCAAGACCATTGCATATTGTCATTGGGAGATATGCCAATGCGACAAATTTAGAATGGTCATTGACGGAAACAGTACTGGGAGAATTGTCATCTCATGAGCTTGGAACACCCTCACTGTAGTACTGAGCTTTGAGAAACACCTCATTGTAGTATTGAGCAACAAAAAGAATGGGAAGGGAGAAACGTCTGCTCAGCAGGTAAAAAACAATTCCATAACGTGGTATACTTAGGGTTTCCATACGTGGTATACCGATGCTTCCAAAACTACAGCAGGTACAGGGATAGTAGTATTTGCAGCACCTACTCCAGCATCCTGCAGGCAGAAACCTCGCTATCGGAAGATGCGTACAACTTATCTTTGTCAGGAACTGTTGGAAACAAAAAATAGCCATCTTATCCAAGAATAAAGCAGCCTTAAGAGCGAATTTGAAGTTGGTCAAAGAATGCCTAGAGAACAAATTAGGCAAAGAAAATAAAGTCATCCTACTCTGGGTGTCAGCCCCCAAGGTATAGAAGGTAATAAAAAAGCAAATGATCTAGCCACACTCTACTAACTGGACCAGAACCGTTTTGCTTCTGAAGTGGAAACAAACTTAAAGCAGAACTCAAGAACTTGGAAGACTCCATCCGTAACCCCGAATGGGAGTTCTCCAAGAGTTCTCCAACGGTCTAAGACACTCGAAGAAATGTCACGACCGAGAAAAATTAAAGATTTTCATTGATTTAAGTAAAATCAATCTTCGGATTGTCACGGGGTGTCTTCGGATTGTCAACAGGACTCTGTCTCTTTAATGAACACCTCAATAGATATAAAATAGTAAATACGACAAATGCAGATTTTGTGGGAACGATGGGGAAATACCAGGTCACCTCATCAATGAGTATGCCGAGAGGACAGTCGATCATGCCATTAACTTTGATACGACTAATATTGGAGATGGAGAACTGACCTCTGTAAAACCGTTTCAGATATTGGTTTTTAAAAGCCCTGAGACTGAATGATTTCATGATAAACAGTTCTTAATTGTTTACTTACTCTAAGTCCCTGTATTCCATATACTTTTAGTCGGGGATCTACAACTGCACGTTTATCAGTTTTCGGGCCCATTTTGCAAGTCCCACTTTGATGATAGATCGTGAAGGTAAAGTGTCTGGCCATACACTCGAAATATGCGTCGCTTCCAAAAGGTCTATCAGCACACTGTGGTATTGGAATGTTGTGCAATTTAGCGCCTGAAAATGCATTTTTGTTTTATCTAGGAAAAGGGCCCACAGTAAATACAAAATAACAGTTCAATACTCAGTAGCGTCTGAAAGATTATTGAGTAGATGAGCTTAAATAAGGAGGTGATTCAATTTAAAATATAATTACTTTTTTAACAACTTTTAGTAAATGTTACTCTCGTTAGTTATTAACAATTACTAGTAAAAGTTGACCAAGTTCTTCTTTAAAATACGACATTTATTAGCCCAATCTATATACCGGGTGCGTCTCAAAAGTGGCTCACCCCCTATAACTTTTTTATTTTTTCAGATAAAAAATCGAGACTTGGTATGTTAGTTTATGACATAAATTAGGATTAATTGACGGTATTCAATTGTTTTCGGTCACTTCCTGTTTCACCGGAAATCACTGCAACTTTTTAAATGGCACCCTCGGTGTTTTGTTACTTTATTTTATAGAAAATGACACTCTGAATAGGATGACACATATGACAAAGATGACAAGACATATGTCAACTTATAACATTTTCGAATATGGTTTATTTGAAATAGCAACATGCAATTCATAACGACAATTTGAATCGAAATACCAAGTGTGTGGTACCAAATTATTCGTAAAAAAATGCTTTTTCCAAATATGCTAATGAGCCACCCTCGTTCCATTTGAAAAAATTGAGATATGATTAAAAATACGATTTAAGCATATTTTAACTGGTTAGGACATGACACTAAAAACATTAGACGATCAAAACTATTGTTTCAAGGCTCCTTGATTAAAAAAAAATGTTTTTAACACAGCCATGGCACTCTAGATTGAAATTTAGAATACAGTTTTGTTTGCACTGAAAATGTCAAGAGTTGGTATATAATGTGTCATTATATTCAGAGTGTCATTTTCTATCGAATAAAGTTAAAAAATACCGAGAGTGCCATTTAAAAATCAAAAGTTTTAATCATTTCCGGTGAAACAGGAAGTGGCCGAAAAGAATTGAATACGTCAATCAATCCTAATTTATGTCATATACTATCACACCAAATCCAGTTTTTTATCTGAAAAAATAAAAAAGTAATAGGGATGAGCCACTTTTGAGGCGCACCCGATATATTTTTCTAATTATTCAACCGAAAATAATATATTTCTTTAAAAATTAACGAATGGGTAAAGGATTCTAACACTAAATTGCATTTTATTCGGTTCCATTTAAAATGGACAAAGCTGGTTTTTCCCGTGCAGTCTTCATATACTTTGTAGTAGTAACATACCCAAAGCTTGCAGTGCTGGTTCACTAGTGATATTTAAAACCAAACGAACTCCTTTTATCATAGTTTCCATGTCTTTGGGATCGGCAAAATAGTTAGGAAATATAAAGGGTTTCGTTTTGTAATTTGCATTTTTCAGCATCAGTCTGCCTTTACTTTTGGGTCGTAGCAACATGGGGAAGACCTAGAAGTATAAATTTTATATTTTGTTGTACCAAATTGCAATTATTAGAAAACGTAGACTTAAACGTAGTAAAAACAGAAACTACTTATTTACTAGCCAAATAAAAATGAAAATAAAAACACTAATTCACCACAATATACCAAAACGCTTTATTTTTGCACAGGACGCGCGTTTCGCTAACCATGTTAGCATCATAGGCAGATGATTACAACTAAGTTTGAGTTTTAATCATATGCTGATGATTCTAACATGGTTAGCGAAACGCGCGTCCAGTGCAAAAGTAAAGTGTTTTATTTTGCTGTTGTAAACCATAGCTTCCAACCCCCCAACTGGAAGTACTTATTTACCCCAACTAAAATAACTCATTAAATTCATACAAGTTACCTCCTCAAGTTGCTTACCATAAATGAATCTTTGGACTCGATCGGTTTATAAACTGCATTGTATATTTCGTCAGTGATTCCAAAATCTTTTCGCAATGATATGTCGGATACAATTGAACCGCCCTGGAACAAGAGCTCCATATCTGGATATCCGTCTGGATCGTTAGGGTGATCAAAGTCGTGGAATACCAAGACCTGTTTAAATACATTTATGATATAGTTTGACGTAGGAGATTGGCTCAGTGCATTCACTGAATCAATCTGCGACAGACTTATTTATTTTTTCTTTAGTCTTCTGAGTTTGACTAACTATAGTTACATTATTAGTATGTTATTATTGCTTTTAATAAAAATATACTCTTTAAATTTTCGTTTCATTTAATGATATTCGTTTTGGACAACTCTAGTTAATCTAACCAATCTTCTGGTGTTAACTAAAGAGCAGTTACAACAACTAAACAAGGATATTTTAAATGCTATTGATATAACAAAAAAATATGATCAAAACATATAACATGTACAGGGTGTACCAGGCTAAGCCTGCATTAAAAGTTTCTAGAGGACTACAATATCTAGATCGGAGATTTTTTGCACATCATTGTTTTACAACGAGATCTATTGATTAAAAATATTTTCAATATGGCGGTACTTTCGGAAATACCGGAAGTTGACAGCAACTTTCTTATTTTATATAGGTGTCCCAATTTTTTATTACATACTTACATTCTCTGTAAAATTCTATGAATACTACACTCTATACCTAACATTAACCGTTTTTGAGAAAAAAATATTTAAAATTTTTCGACGAAAAAAACTCCCTGTCAAAAAAAATTGTATAGCGTAAAAGTCAAATATAGTGATTACCACAGTCACTATGACATAAAGAGAAGACATGTGGCTGTCTATTTCAAAAATTGAATTGTTCGAATGTCATATTATAATAATGGCGGTAACTAGTGGGTTTCCATTTGAAAAAAATATTTATGATAATTTTTTAATCGCTCAATTCCATGACAGCTTCGGCCATTATTCTATGACATTCGAACAATTTAATTTTTGAAATAGATAGCCACATGTCTTCTCTTTATGCCACAGTGGTTGTGGTAATCACTAAATTTGACATTTAAGCTAAACACATATTTTTGACAGGCAGTTTTTTTCGTCCAAAAATGTTAAATATATTTTTTCTCAAAAACGGATAATGTTCAGTATAGTGTTTAATATCAAAATTCATAAAATTTTACAGATAATTTAAGTATGTAATAAAGTAAGGCTATTTAAAATAAGGAAGTTGCTGTCAACTTCCGGTATTTCCGAAAGTTCCGCCATATTGAAAATATTTTTAATCGATAGATCTCGTTGTGAAACAATGATGTGCAAGAAAATTCCCATCTAGATATTGTAGTTCTCTAGAAACTTCTAATGCTCAGCCTGGGACACCCTGTATAAATGGCGGAAACATTGTTTACTCTAATAAGAGTCTTACCTCACATCCTCCAGGAATAGTCAGAGGACCTTGTCGTCTATTCAAATAATCTTTCAAATTTTTCAAGTTCATAATCTTCTCCGTTTTTAGAGACACTGGCTCGTTTATGAGAAAAGTAAGTCCACCAATAGCGATGTGGTCCATTAGATTAAATCCAACTCTTAAGTTACTAAGGACTGGTATTCCTGTAATTTGGAAATTTACAATTAATCTGCTAATTATAATAATACAACTAATCTTAATTATTCTTATACAAAAATGTGTTTAAATCCTAATAATAGTTTCTTATACAGTAATGGGGCAATCAGTTTAGCCCTTAGGTTTAGCTAAATCGGTGGAACAAATTATTAGAGTTTTAAAAATGGTTTTAAACTGTTCCTCTAGACTTGATATGTGTCCAAAGTCCCCCTAAATAGACTATTTTCAATTTTATAACTTTTACATAATAAATTGTACTTGTATCTAATTATGCTCTTTGTTACAGGTAAGAACACATCCCTACCTAGCTGTTTCAAATGTTTACTAGGACCAATGCCGCTCAGCATGAGGAGTTGCGGAGAGTTTATAGCTCCGGCCGACACAACAACTTCCTTTCTAGCTCTGATTATGTGAGTCTGACCATTTTTTTGCATTTCGATTCCTTGAACTTTTTTCGTCGCAGGGTCTGCAAATAAAAAAAATAGGTACATAATATATTAACACCTAGTGGTAAGTAGTTTTTTCGTAAGTATAAGTAATTTACATACCGATAATAATTCTTTTGACCATCGAATACTTTGATAGATGCAAATTAGGTCTGGTTCTGATGGGATGTAGATATGCTCTGCTGCTGCTCTCTCTTACACCTTCGTTTAATGTCAGTTGGAGATATGATACACCAATCTAGTAAAATAAATAACATAAAAAACTGTTTTTAAAATTTATACTATACAGGGTGTTCCTATATTCCGTGGGCGAAGTAGTATAGAACCATTATAGACACTAAAAGAATTTCAGACTTGCTGGATCGTTGTCTTTATTTTTAAAATGGTGAAGCAACCAAAATAAAAAAGTACCTATAGTTAAAGCATTATGTCATGAATCAATCACCATCATCTTGAAACTAAAAGAATTTCAGACTTCAACAGTCGATCTGCGGTACGAGAGGTACTGGGTTCGATCCCCAGCCAGTACGGTAGCTTTATTTATTTAAATAAAAGTATTGGTTTATCTAAATAGAGCGACCAACGAGCCGTCTCCTCAAGAAAGGCAATGGCAAACCACTTTGAGTATATTTGCCTTGTACAGCCTCTCAAATAGTGCCGTTCGGATTCGGTGATAAACTGTAGGTCCCGTGTATTTGTAAAACATTGATGACACACGTCACAAGTACATGCGAGAGATTGCCGACGCTCTGCATAGAGTATGGCACTGTAAGAAGAAGAAGAAGAAGAAGAAGAAGTAAGAAGAATCTTTGGATTGTTATTTTTTTTAACAGGATACTGTCTCCTCAACGAACACCTATTGAAGCTAAGAAACAACGGCGAATGCAGATTCTGTTGGGAATATGAACATCATCATTCGTCTCATAAACTTTGGCATGACTGTTATCGGAGTTGGATAACTAACCTCTGTAAAACCGTCTTAGATACTGGCTTTTGTCAAAGCCTCTGTAAGAAAAGACTGTGTGAGACTCAGTAAAGACTGTGTGGGAAGTTATAACTCAAGAAAGGGGGACACAATAAATCTATAAGGTCTATCAGCTTAGGTCCTCCCATAAAATCTACAATCATACTGTCTTCTCAGGAATATATACTTACTTGAGTAGGCCCGTTATAGTCAGTGTATGGAATACCATATTGCTGACTCGAGTTTACAATAGCATCGGCAATTTTTGTTCGGTAGGGGGCATAACTGACATCTAAATATCCGTCATAACCATGATAGCGTTGATCGTGAGGAGTAGGTATACTGAAGTTCTCAATTTTTCTACCAAGAAAAATTTACTTTAATATAGAATTTATAAATGGTCGTAAAGTACAGTATGATCGAAAAAAAACGGTGTCATTAATTTCCAAGCCATCTTTGAATCTTTCCGCTATCTTTTTTTCGATCATATGCTATTCAGTATAAGTATACTTTTGTTACCTAAAATATGGCAGAACGTCTTTATAAGACCATCCGACATTACCCATTGCTGCCCAGTTATCAAAATCTCGTCTGTTCCCTCTGGTGTATATCATGTAATTCAAAACACTAGACCCACCTGAAAAGGAAAACTTAATTAATACAGATTTTTCATTGTAAGAATTCATTTTACTTGAGTTAGTTTATATTTTAACAATCTTCTGTTTAAGAAGACACACTACAGGGATTTCGTAAGGCAGAAGAGGTAGACAGATAATTATCTATTATAGTTTCTATAAAATTTTTCCATAAGTACTCCATGCTAACTTAATGGAGTAGTTGTGGAAGAAACTCAATCATATTTAAATCTAGAATGCCACTCTATTTAAAGAAGAAAACGTTCGACCAATGTGTACTACCAGTCATGACCTGTGCATGCGAAACCTGGACACTTAAAACGGACATCATAAGGAAACTGCAGGTCGCATAACGCTCAATGGAACGAAATATGCTGGGAATAGAGAGACCGTAAAAGAATAGAGTGGATGCGACAAAAGACCAGAGTAATAGATGTAATCCACAGAGTCAAATCCCTCAAATGGCAATGGGCAGGACCCCTGGAAAGAAGAACGGACAACAGATGGACCACAAAAATTACAGCATGGCGCCCACGAGGAATTAAGAGTCCTAGAAGAAGACCGAACCTATGATATTGGCAATTAGCAAGGATAACTTGGTCCAAAGAGAGTATCTAAACATGCATGTGAGGGAGGCTACACTAGAGATCTGCACGGGCCGGGTAGCCCGAACGGGCCTCAGGCCAGGCCCGGCCCGAACACGGGCCACGGGCCGGGCCGGTTTCGTACTGTCAATAGGGGTCGGACCTCGGGCCGGGCCGGTTCCGCACTTTAAATAAACACAACTTTGCTTCTGTACATGTTTTTGAGACACCCTGTATTATAATAGGTATTTTAGGCTATGTTTTTGTGAAATTGATAGATTGTCTGGAATCGACAAAGAACTACTTGGAATAATTGTAATTGAAAGGATTTTTGTAATTTTATTTTGATCATTTTATTTTAATGGTTCGGGCCGGGCCGGACTAGTTTAAGTTTTAACTTTCCACAAACCGGGCCGGGCTTACAAAACCTACTTCTCTTCTCGGGCCGGGCCGGGTCGGGCTACAAAAAACCGGCCCGTGCAGGTCTCTAGGCTACACCATAACTGGAAATGGTTGAATAAGCTGAGAGTGATGATGATGATGATACTCGCAAATATATAATACCATGATTACATGATACATGATACCATGATACAACGATCGAAAAAAACGTCGTCAAAGACGATGTCATTTACTAAAAGTCCGGTATTATTAAGATATTTCCAGGAATAAAGAATAAAATGTTGAAAAGTTACCTGTGAACATTTTTATGTCAATTAAATTTACATTTTTAACAACTGTTTTTCTCTACATAGACCTAATTATAAAAGTAGGTCTCTGTTTCTTCTTTTACTATAATAATACATAATGAGTATTAATTGGTTTATAAACCATAAATCGTGTTAATATAATAATATTATAAAATTATTTAGTTTTCAATTTTTTGTCAGACATGTTGTGGAAATAAATGTATTATTAATGATTAGTTAAGTGTCGAAGCCATAACCAATTAGATTTTATATTGATAAATGCCTAGGAAAGTACCCATAAAATATCTATCTAATAGATAGGTATAAAAATAAGTTTCCTTTAAAAGTAGTATACCGAGTGCGTTTCAAAAATGGCTAACGCCTATAACTTTATTTTTTCAGATAAAAAACGAGATTTTGTATGTTAGTATATGACATGAACTAGGATTGATTGATGTATTCAATTATTTTTGGTCACTTCCTCGGTATATATATTCATAGTTTTCTTATGGTATCTGGTTCAATAGAATTCCAGACCTCTGTCAAAATTCTTATCAAATCTTTCTTATTGCTAATGTGACTTTGTCTTACCCGGCGATCTAGTTCCTCCCACAAGTTTTCAATGGGGAAGGTCTGGACTTTAGGTAGGAAAGTCCATAACCCTAATTTGTTCAGACAAAAACCATTTTTGTAAGACTTTCGATTTATGCTTTGGATCATTATCTTGCTGAAATATCCAGGTTAAAGGCAAATTATCATCAGCAAAAGGAATCATCACTTTCTTTCAGATGTCCAAAAATCGATCCATTGTTCCTTCTATTACATGCAGTGTTCCATGCCATAGCCCGAGAAGCATCCCCACACTGGTATACTTTGGATCAAATCTTTTCCCTTCTGGACGATGTATCCACGATATGCCATCGGATCCAAATATATTGAATTTGCTTTCATCTGAAAACAGAACTTTTTTCCAGTCATTCGTCGACCAGTGCAAATATTTTTTTGCAAAGGTAAGTCGGGCCTTCTGACTGCTCTTCTGCTAAATAATCCTGCTTTCCTTAGCTTTCTTTGGATGGTCTTAGATCTTATATTGACACCATGCAGGTAGTTCACTCAAAATTTGATTTGCCAATTTATGCGGATTAGTTAAGGCAATTTTTTTAATTATCATTTCATTTTTTTTTTCGTTGTTTTCCTTGACCGACCACTTTTTTTAATAGTCTTTATAAGGAATTGCGAGTTTTGAAATTGGAAATCGTTTTGCTAATGACAGACTTATGCAAATTAAACATTGTGCTTATGTCCATTTGCACCATTCTGATGTGCATTGATTATTTTTTCGCGAAGATCCCCAGACAAATATTTTCGGCGTGGCATATTTAGTAAAAATGTAAATCAGAATATCAACAGTTTAATCTTAAGCAAATAACTACTAAGTATGGTCCATTTTTATGTTGGTTTCTTTATTTATGTCCCTTCAAAAATATTTGTGTCCATATTACAAATAAACACGTGATAAGATAAATTTGGAATGTGGCGAAAAATGATGATATTGCCACTAAAAGGAAATATGTTTAAAACAAACATTATTTTAAATACTGGAGGTTTTTGAAATCCGACGAGTTTTAAAAAGTTTCTCTACTTTTGCCTGATGTATATATATATATATATATATATATATATAGATATATATATATATATATATATATATATATATATATATATATATATATATATATAGATATAATATATATAATATATATATAATATATATATATATATATATATATATATATATATATATATATATATATATATATATATATATATATATATATATATATATATATATATATATATATATATATATATATATATATATATATATATATATATATATATAATATATATATATATATATATATATATATATATATATATATATATATATATATATATATATATATATATATATATATATATATATATATATATATATATAAATAATATAAATAATATTTTCTTGCCTTTAGCTGTGTATTTTTTCTAATTTCGAAAAATCGAAAGTAGAGAAAAAATTTAAAAAAAATAAAAAGTAAAAAGAAAATTGTTTTGCTTGTCGTAAAGGGGGGAACCAAGCTCCACTCCCACAACCGGTTTCTGGGCCTACCCTTCATCAGGTGGGCTGTCCAGGGGCTGGTTCTCACCGATACGGCAAGCAAAACTTCTTCTATATCAACAGACGATGTCGTAAACTGTCGGTGAGATATTAATGCATCTCCCGTCAAAAGATGGCAAAGAGCGTTTTTCGGCCCGCTTAAATATATGAAATGAACAAAATTCTTACAGCTTTAGTGTATATTAATAAATAATATTTTCTTGCCTTTAGCTGTGTATTTTTTCTAATTTCGAAAAATCGAAAGTAGAGAAAAAATTTAAAAAAAATAAAAAGTAAAAAGAAAATTGTTTTGCTTGTCGTAAAGGGGGGAACCAAGCTCCACTCCCACAACCGGTTTCTGGGCCTACCCTTCATCAGGTGGGCTGTCCAGGGGCTGGTTCTCACCGATACGGCAAGCAAAACTTCTTCTATATCAACAGACGATGTCGTAAACTGTCGGTGAGATATTAATGCATCTCCCGTCAAAAGATGGCAAAGAGCGTTTTTCGGCCCGCTTAAATATATGAAATGAACAAAATTCTTACAGCTTTAGTGTATATTAATAAATAATATTTTCTTGCCTTTAGCTGTGTATTTTTTCTAATTTCGAAAAATCGAAAGTAGAGAAAAAATTTAAAAAAAATAAAAAGTAAAAAGAAAATTGTTTTGCTTGTCGTAAAGGGGGGAACCAAGCTCCACTCCCACAACCGGTTTCTGGGCCTACCCTTCATCAGGTGGGCTGTCCAGGGGCTGGTTCTCACCGATACGGCAAGCAAAACTTCTTCTATATCAACAGACGATGTCGTAAACTGTCGGTGAGATATTAGTGCATCTCCCGTCAAAAGATGGTAAAGAGCGTTTTTCGGCCCGCTCAAATATATGAAATGAACAAAATTCTTACAGCTTTAGTGTATATTAATAAATAATATTTTCTTGCCTTTAGCTGTGTATTTTTTCTAATTTCGAAAAATCGAAAGTAGAGAAAAAATTAAAAAAAAATAAAAAGTAAAAAGAAAATTGTTTTGCTTGTCGTAAAGGGGGGAACCAAGCTCCACTCCCACAACCGGTTTCTGGGCCTACCCTTCATCAGGTGGCCGTATCGGTTAGAACCAGCCCCTGGACAGCCCACCTGATGAAGGGTAGGCCCAGAAACCGGTTGTGGGAGTGGAGCTTGGTTCCCCCCTTTACGACAAGCAAAACAATTTTCTTTTTACTTTTTATTTTTTTTTAAATTTTTTCTCTACTTTCGATTTTTCGAAATTAGAAAAAATACACAGTTAAAGGCAAGAAAATATTATTTATTAATATACACTAAAGCTGTAAGAACATTTGTATTTTATATATATATATATATATATATATATATATATATATATATATATATATATATATATATATATATATATATATATATATTTCACAATATTAAACTTCTTACCGACTACTTTTCCTCTGGGCCAGTTACATCTTTGACCGTCGAATCCTAGGCAAGCTTTTCCATTTGGCTCCGTTTGATACCTCCAGTTGCTCTCCGTAAATTGTAAATAGTTTGCAAGAATTGGGAAATCCATCATATAATTTTCTGGCCTACCTAAAAAATATTTGTTGGTTAATTTGATGTTGATCATGTTTATTGCTCTGTGCTATAAGCAGTCCATTAAATAATCATTATTGTAACTAGTTATGATGTAATTGTCATTGTTTGTTTTTGAATTAATTTGATTAATAGTGTTTGCAATTGAATTAAAAACTTCTTTTAGAACGTATTATCGATTCTTTAAAAGGATGATAATATTTTTAGTCTACCAAATAAGGAAATATAAAATATAAATTAAAGTTCATCTTGTCATAAAAGTAGATGGATCGAAATGGTATGGTACAGGGTGTCCCACTAAGTATAGCTCTCGGCTGCATCTCGGAAAGTATCAGCCGTAGGGCCTGCGGAAAAAAATATTTGTAACTAAAGAGGCTATGAGAAATTACTGGAAAATAATTTCAAATTTGTAGAATGGCCGCTAGAGGACGCAACGGCTATGGAAAATAAGAAAATTGAATTTTTACAAAATTTTGCCTATAAGGGGTACTATAAATATCAGCTTCATAATCTTCAGTAAATTTTGGATCTTTTTTGTCTGAACCATTTTCCTCTATCTGCTAAACTAAAGTCGTGGGGAGAGGTTAGATCGGTTTTTTTAATTTAAATATTAATAACTCCGGACTGGATGATCAGAATTCAACTAACGGAGCTCTTTTAAAAGAGCGTTTTTTACTCTATATAACACCATATAAACAATAATTTCATATATTCTCTTAAACTTTACATGTCTTGTATTTTATCATAGTTGTTTTCATAGATATTTAGTACAATTCTTAACACCACTTTCGTTGACATACAACCACTTTAATAATTATTAAAATTGTACAATGCTATTTACCATCACAGTCCATCTTGAATAAATATAGTCACTAGTTTTAAGTAATAAACAAAACTGTGTTTTCTTTCTCTGTACATGCCTGGCGCCCAATATCTATTTTTTTTTTGTTTATTGTTATTAATTAGTTTTCTTTCTAGTGAAATACCTTATCCACGACTGCTCTCCGATGAAAAGCTACCGTTCGCAGTGGTAGTTGTTTAAAAAACGCTACACAGTGGTGTTTACAAAAAATAACTATTTTATTTCCTATATTTTTCTCATGTGATGAAAAACCAAGTCTTGTATTAATATTTTTACAGATTTACCTGCTTCTATTAATAAAACCGACCAGTTCGGATTTTCCGAAAGTCGATTGGCAACGACACATCCTGCTGTTCCAGCGCCTACTATTATAAAATCGTATTCTTTGTGCAACAATTTCGGAGGCATGTCAGGAGGCTCGGTCTCCAGCTGTTCCTGGCCATCTTGGATCAGTTTGATGACTCCGTCGAACAGCGATTGTTGAAGGGAGTAGGAGAGTATCGTTAGTAGAACAAATAGGGGACGATACATTTTGTCTATCCTAAAACATAAAATTAAATTTACAATTATGTTATTAAATTACACCTTTTTTGAAACAGATAATATAACCCTGAGTGAACGAACATTGGATGGCCGTTAATTTTTAGACATTTTTCACATCTTTTAATTTTTAATATACAGGATGATTTACAGTCATGGTAGAGGAGAATGTGTGTTTGAAAATTTGGTGTTTTCCATAAAGCAGGGCCGTCTTAGGGGCCCGGGCGAGCGGGCAGGTTTGTTTGGGGCGGCCATTTACCTGGGTTCAATTTTTAAAATTGGAATTAAAAAAATATTTATTTTGAAACAACACATCCGTTATCATAACACAACTACCTATTCAATATTTAACAATAAAATTTTAAAATAATGAGAATAATTGCACGTTTCCCATAAATGAAAAAGGAAGAAGGTTTACTAGTAAAAATTATTGGAGACAATTAGCCAACGGAGAAAATACTCTAAGGGAATGGCTAATATATTCTAAATTACTGGATTCAGATTATTGCTTTCCGTATAAGTTATTCTTTTCTGCAAATGATAAATGTACATCATTAATTGATAAAAACGGCTTTCGGGATTGGAAACATCTTTCAGAAACACTAACTTCTCATGAAGTTAGCATTATAATAAGTGGAAAATGCTTCAGAAATCTTTTGGGAACAACACTACCATTGATGCCACTCACCAGAAAGTGCTAAATTTAATAAAAGAACATTGGAAAAATATTTTGAAAAGAATAATATCTATTATACTTTTTCTGGCCGGCTAAAATCTTGCTTTGTGCGGATCATCCGAAAAGTTATACGTTAAAAATAATGGGAATTTTTTGAAAACAGTTGAGTTGCTTGCTCAGTTTGATCCCATCATGAAAGAGCATCTTAATAAAATTGAAAAAACTCCTAATTTGGACAGAAAAACTCATTATTTAGGACACAATATCCCAAAATAAATTTTAATAAGTCACATTTCAAATAATATTAAACAGAGAATAATTTCTGATATTCTGAACTCAAAATATTTTTCCATTATATCTTAGACTGTACTCCAGATAAAAACAGAGTAGAGCAGCTTACATAGCGATATGTAAAGGCCAATCCGTTCACAGTTAAAGAGTTTCATAGAATATTCACCTGTAAATGATACGGCCGGGGTCTTACCAGAGAAGAACACGATTGTCCTTCTCTGGTCTTACAAAAACTCTGGTCGGGCTGTCAAAACTTAATGAATTAGGCTTGGATATTAAAAATGTTCGTGGTCAGGGTCAATTCTTGTATGAAGCTCAGGATAAACCAATAAACGACCCATGGCAAAAATTTAAAATTGAAATTTTCTTTGTCGTTGTGGATAAAATTATTAACTCAATTGACGAGAAATTTGAATTATTGAGAGTTCATTCTAATTACTTTTCATTTTTATATAATATTCCTGAAGCAATTCTCCAAATCAATAAAGAAGATCTCCTGAAACATTGCCTTGACTTAGAAATACTTAACTGATGGTGAAAGCAAAGATTTAAATGGTCTTGAACTGCGAGATGAACTGATTTCTTTTGGTGTCTTGATTGAAAAAGAAAATGAGAAAATAAATAACTCACAAAAATTTTAGAATTTAATTATTCAAACAATTTGGATGGAAATCTACCAAATATGTGTAATAGCACTAAGGATTTTGCTTACACTACCAGTTTCGATAGGTTGCGGGGAGCGAAGCTTTTCCAAACTAAAAATAATTGAAAATTATTTGCGATCCAGTAAGTCTCAAGAACGCCTTACTGGATTAGAATTAATTTCAATCGAAAATGAAATTGCCAGTAATTTAAATTATGATGAACTAATTTGCTCCTTTGCGGAAAAGAAAGCTCGAATTATGTTTTAGTTATGTTTAGTTTATTATAAGATTATTCTTCTGTTTTTCTAAATTTGTATATTAATATTTTTGTAAATACCGTATGATCGAAAAAAAAACGGCGTCCAGTTGGCTTGGAAATGACGATCGATGACATTTCCCATATAATTTTACATATAAAATGTCAGCGATCTTCATTTCATAGCTATCGTTGACGCCGTTTTTATTCGATCATACGGTATAATTTATAATAAGTAACGTTTCCAAAAAAAATGTATATTTTTCCTCATAGCTTTGTGGTATTTTTAGGGGGCTATTTCTGAAAGTTTGCCCGTGGCGGCCAAAAACCTAGGGTCGGCCCTGCCATAAAGTCACCTGCTAAAGCAGTCAATGTTACTTTTTCGAAATCAATTAGTATCTATTTAGGTTGAGGTTTTTGAAGAACGTTTGATGTCTATTTATTTAATTTCGTTAGAATGTAGAATGAGTGAGAGGGGGGGGGGTTAATCACTGCGACCTTAATGATCTATTGTGCCCCCCTTCCTTGAGTCATTACACAGTCTATAACTCATCATACCCCTGTTGTAGAGGGGACAGGGTGTTTCCCTTCCTCCTCTGACAACAGTTCTTCCTCCGGGGGTACACACCCTTCCACGGTTGGAGTTTGGCCCTCCGTGCCCTTCACAGTCGAGGAGCTTGTCTCCGGCTGAGGTACCCGTGCGGTGGAGGCTGGAGGATCTGTCTCCATTTTCTCCAGGTACCAAAACTATAGTTGTTAAAACAACGCAAGGAACTCCACAAGGTGGAGTGACCTCCCCCCTACTGTGGAGCTTGGTAGTGGATGAACTACTGGAAGAATTAACTCTAGCGGGAATACACTGCATAGGGTACGCAGATGACATAGTCATCATTGCACGGGGGAAACATGAAGGCACCCTGTGTGATATTATCCAAAGAGGATTCCGCATCGCTGAGAGATGGTGCAGGACTGTCGGGCTGAGTATTAACTCAGATAAAACCGCAGTAGTGCCATTCACCAGAAAGCGAAGTTTGAAAAACTTGAAAAGAATCCATCTAGATGGAAAGGAAATACTGCCATCACAGGAAGTGAAATATCTGGGAATAACCCTGGATAGTAAACTTCTCTGGAACAGGCATATTAAGAACATTACCAGCAAAGCCACAAAGGCTCTCATGATATGCAGAAGACTGGCGGGAAATAGGTGGGGCTGCGCCCCTAACATTTTGCGCTGGATGTATACCATGATAGTAAGACCCATGATTACTTATGGAGCAGTTGCTTGGTATACAAAACTAGAGCAACGTACAGCAAGGCAAACCCTGTGCAAAGTACAGAGACTGGCATGTATCTGCATCACAGGTGCCATGAGAACATGTCCAACAGCAGCAATGGAGGTCATTCTAGACCTAACACCACTGCATATTGTCGTCGGTAGTTATGCCAATGCGACAATGATTAGAATGGTCATTGACGGAAACAGTACTGGGAGAATTTTCAGGTCAGGGGCTTGGAACACCCTCAAAAAGAAAATTCCACTTCTCCAACTCCCAGTGGATGACATACCAAGAATTTACAACTTTGAGAAACACCTCACTGTAGTATTGAGTAATAAAAAGGATTGGAAGAAAGAAACGCTTACTCAGCATATAAAAGACCATACCATCACGTGGTATACTGATGCTTCCAAAACCAAAGCAGGGACAGGGATAGGAGTATTTGGGCCGAAAACTGAATACTCCGAACCAATGGGCACCTACCCCAGTATCCTTCAGGCAGAAATTTGCGCTATCGAAAGATGCGTACAATTTATCTTGGATAGGAACTATCGAAAACAGGAAATTGCCATCCTATCCGATAGTCAAGCAGCACTTAACGCGATCAACTCAGTAACCATCAATTCGAAGTTGGTCAAAGAATGCCTAGAGAAGCTCAACAAATTAGGCAAAGAAAATAAAGTCCTCCTACTCTGGGTGCCTGCTCACCAAGGGATAGAAGGCAATGAAAAAGCAAATGATCTACTAGAAAGGAGCGAACACTCCACTAACTGGACCAGAACCGTTCTGTTTTCCAAACGGGAACCAACTGAAAGCGGAACTGAAGAATCTGGAAGACTCCAGACTCCTCCAACGGTCTAAGACACTCGAAAAAGTTCCTTAGAACTTATGACCGAGAAAAATCAAAGGTTTTCCTTGATTTAAGTAAAAACAATCTTCGGATTGTCACACCTTATCACTGGGTGCGCCGAGACGACGACCATTCGTGCCATGAACCTTGGTACGTCGGATGTTGAGGATGGAGAGCTGGCCTCTGTGGAGCCGTCTCAGATACTGGCTTTTCTTAAAGCCCTGAGACTGTATGATGAGTTATAACTCGTTATAACTCAAGAAAGGGGAACACACAATAGATCTATAAGGTCGCGGTGATTAACTCCCCTCCTAAACATTCTACATTCTACATTCCCTTCCTCCTCTGACAACAGTTCTTCCTCCGGGGGTACACACCCTTCCACGGTTGGAGTTTGGCCCTCCGTGCCCTTCACAGTCGAGGAGCTTGTCTCCGACTGAGGTACCCGTGCGGTGGAGGCTGGAGGATCTGTCTCCATTTTCTCCACGTCATTAACTTGGCCTCTCCTTAGACCTGATACCGGTGTTGTCCTGTATCTATAATAGAGGATATGTCCCTCTTTCTCTATTGCCTCCTTGGATTTGAGGTCAATTCTCGAGTTGATGACTCGCCAACTCGATGTCCTTACATTAAAGTTCTTATCCTGGATAAGGCTCAGCAGGTAGGTGGTGCTTTCCCCTTGCTCCTCGGCAGAAAGACCGTGAATAGAATCTGAATAGAATGACATATCATATGTCAACTTTTGACATTCTTTTGACAACTTTTCAACCCCGTAAGATTTTTATTTTATTTTGAAACACCCTACTCCCCATAGATATAATATGCTCCTAACTACGCGAAATATAGGTTTTATAATAAAACAGTTATTTTCTGTTTAATCAATCTTTCTGTCATATCAATATTTTTCTGTGTGAAAGGAGTAAACCGAAAAAAAAAGATCTTTTAAGTATTTACAAATTACACTTTTAATGCTGTAATTTACATATTAATAATTGAACGTGCAGTAA